GCCTTTCTCTGCTGCCTCCCTGATTAGCTTAATAACTAACCTCCTGCATTCTTTTTCAGGTAAATCAGGAATTTCTTCTTCTTTTGGATCCATTGCTGGTGAGCCAGTGTAATTTTGTGGGGCTTATAAGAGTCTTGTTTGGTCATATTACCAGAGTTGCTTTCCTGGTTCCTTCTCACTTGAGTAGGCCCTGTCAGAGGAAGGGTCTAGGGCTAAAGGCCATTGTTCAAATTATTTTGTTCCATGGTGTTCCCTTGATGGAGTACTCTTTCCCTTTTCCTAGGGATGTCGCTTCCTGAGAGCTGAGAGGCAGTGATTTTTTTTCTCTCACTTTGGGTCTAGCCGCCCAGAAAGTCTGCCAGCCTCTGGGCTGTTACTGGGGATTGTCTGCACAGAGTCCTGTGATATGAACTGCCTATTGGCTTCTCAGTCATGAATACCAGCATCTGTTCTGGTTAAGGTGGCAGGGGTTGAAACTTACTCCATGAAGCTTCTTAGCTTTGGTGGTTTAATGTTCTATTTTTGTGCTGGTTGGCCTCCTGCCTGGGGTGGCACTTTCCAGAGAGCATTAGCTGTGGAGAGAAACCAGCAGTGGGTGGGGCCCTAGAACTCCTGAGAGTATACACCCTTTTTCTTCAGCTACAAAGTTGGGTAGGAAAGACTATCGGAATGTAAAGGACCTCTTCAAGGAGAACTACAAACCACTGCTCAAGAAAATAAGAAAGGACACAAACAGATGGAGAAACATTCCATGCCCGTGGTTAGAAAGAATCAATATTGTAAAAATGGCCATACTGCCCAAAGTAATTTATAGATTCAATGCTATCCCATCAAACTACCAATGACCTTCTTCACAGAACTCAAAAAAAAAAAACACACAAAAAAAACCTTAAACTTCATATGGAACCAAAAGAGAGCCTGCATAGCCAAGTTAATTCTAAGCAAAAAGAACAAAGCTGGAGGCATCACGCTACCTGACTTCAAATTATACTACAAGGTTACAGTTATCAAAACAGCATAATATTGGTACCAAAACAGAGATATAGACCAATGGAATAGAACAGAGGCCTCAGAGGCAATGCCACACATCTACAACCATCTGATCTTTGACAACCCTGACAAAAACAAGCAATGGGAAAAGGATTCCCTGTTTAATACATGGTATTGGGAAAACTGGCTAGCCATGTGCAGAAAGCAGAAACTGGACCCCTTCCTGACACATTACACTAAAATTAACTTCAGATGCATTAAAGACTTAAACATAAGACCTAACACCATAAAAACCCTAGAAAAAAACATAAGGCAAAACCATTCAGAACATAGGTATAGGCAAGGACTTCATGACTAAAACACTGAAAGCATTGGCAACAAAAGCCAAAATAGACAAATGGAATCTAAATAAACTCCAGAGCTTCTGCACAGCAAAAGAAACAATCATTAGAGTGAATTGGCAGCCAACAGAATGGGAAAAAATTTTGCAATCTACCCATCTGATAAAGAATCTACAAAGGACTAAAACAGACTTACAAGAAAAACCAAACAAGCCCATTCAAAAGTGGGCAAACGATATGAACAGACACTTTACAAAAGAAGACATACATGAGGCCAACAAACATATTAAAAAAAATGCTCATCATCGCTCATTATTAGAAAAATGCAAATCAAAACTGCATTGAGATACCATCTCATGACAATTAAAATGGTGATCTTTAAAAAATCTGGAGACAACAGATGCTGGAGAGGATGTGGAGAAATAGGAACATTTTTACACTGTTGGTGGGAGTGTAAATTAGTTCAACCATTGTGGAAGACAGTGTGGCAATTCCTCAAGGACCTAGAAATAGAAATTCCATTTGACCCAGCAATCCCATTACTGGGTATATATCCAAAGAATTATAAATCATTCTATTACAAGGACACATGCACACAAATGTTCACTGCAGCACTGTTTACGATAGCAAAGACTTGGAACCAACCCAAATGCCCACCAATGTTGGACTGGACAGGGAAAATGTGACACATATACACCATGGAATACTATGCAGCCATAAAAAATGATGAGTTCATGTTCTTTGTAGGGACATGGATGAACCTGGAAACCATCATTCTCAGCAAACTGACACAAGAGCAGAAAATCAAACACTGCATGTTCTCACTCATAGGTGGGTGTTGAGCAATGAGAACACATGGACACAGTGAGGGGACCATCACACACTGGGGCTTGTTGGAGGGGCTAGAGGAGGGACAGTGGGAGGTAAGGAGTTGGAGGGGTATAACATGGGGAGAAATGCCAGATATAGGTGATGGGGAGGAAGGCAGCAAACCACATTGCCATGTAAGTACCTATGCAACAATCTTGCATGTTCTTCACATGTACCCCAAACCTAAAATGCAATAAAATATATATTTGAAAAAATAAATAAATAAATAAACAAGAAATAATAAGTATTCAAAGGATGTGGAGACATTGGAACCCTTGTATACTGTTGGTGGCCATGTAAAATGCTACACCTACCATGAAAACACTATGGAGGTTCGAACTACCATATGATTCAGTATTCTCACTTATGGGATCTCAGTTCTTCAAAAAAGAGTTAAAATCAGCATTTGGAAGAGATATTTGCACTCCTATATGTTCATTGCAGCATTATTCACAATTGCCAAGATATGGAAGCAATTTAACTACTCATTTGCACATGAATAAATAAGCAAAATATGCTGTATACATACAATGGAATATTAGCCCCAAAAAAGAAAGAACAAGGTCATATCCAACATATATGAACCTTGGGCAAGCACAGAAAAGTAAACACTGCCTGATTTCACTTACACGAGATATCTAAAAAAGTCATCTCACAGAAGGAGAAAGTAGAATGATTGTTGTCTGGGACAAGGGGCAGAGGAGAATAGGGAGTTGTCACTTAGGGGCATAATGTGTCACTTAGGGGCATAATGTATCACTTATGAAAGGTGCAAATGTCGTGGAAACCTCCTGCACAATATTATGCTTACAGTTAGTAATGCTGCACTGTATACCTAAAAGTGTGTTAAGTAGGTAAATCTCATGTTATGCATTTTTATCACAATATTTTAAAAATAAGTGTTTCGCGTACCCTCCCCTAAATTGGGATTTCAGTACTAGAGTGGGTAAAAACCCTGTCCGAAAGGGAAAAGGAATGGGAGCTGTATGGAGGGGTTTACGGTTTATACAATACTTTTACTTCAGTGGTTGGCCTTATGATACCTAGTTGTTTGACCCATGACCAGGGGATCCTTCACACAGGAAGCTTGGTTATACCAGCAGATGCCCTTGGAGTTCTTATCTGACCCACGTCCAGCTTATGTCTGCCTGACCATTGCTCTGGCACTGACAGCCTGACCTTGTGTTCTCACTGAAGTCCTGGGGAAAACCCAGCCTGAGACACCTCCTAGTTTTTCAGACAGAAAGCATAAATTCAACACACCATCACAAGAGGAAATAAGTTCAAAGACGTCTACTTACAGATCCTGGGAAAGGAGGGAATAATGAGTTGGAGGGTGGGGAGCAGTGCTCTGCCCCTGGGTCAGATGAGACAGAAATGAAGAATCTGGCAGAGAGACCAAAATCTCAGAAATCACCACTAAAGAACTTATCCATGTAACCAAACACTACCTGTTCCCCAAAAGCTATTGAAATAATAACAATAAAGAAATAGGTGGCAACTAGCAGTTTATATAAAGAAATCAGGTGTGGGTCACTTAAAGTTTGCAGGCAAGTGCCTGAATAGTTCATTTAAAGGAAGCGACAGGAAAGCAGGGAATCCTGTCAGCTAGGCAGGAGAGATGGCTCTGAGTTATTTCTGGCTTCTGGCTTCCGGCTTGAGCCATTTGGGAGTGGTGTAAAACCTAGAAATGGTGTCAAGGGTAACTGAGCCCTGCCTGTGGTATGAAGAAGTTAAACTTGAATGATGAGATAAAATAGATTTTTAAGAATTTCCTCTAATAAGATAAATATGTATACTGAATACATAATAAAAATTGACTCCTCCCTATGCTAATAAACAAAACCATCATGAGATTATGTGCCATTAAACATAAGGAATATAAAAATAGGTTTCCTCGTTCCATTCTGGATTTACTACACAGGACCATCTACCCAGCAAATGCTGTGAATATACAAGCTGACACTCAATAAGTTGTATACTTTCGTGACATTTCTGATTGTAAGGGTGGTAAATGGACATTTCAGCTTCTGAGGTCTTCACTGGGAGTTTGACTAATACCTGTAAATTTTTACTTTTAATTTTATGTCCCTCAGGATAGTGAAATGTCTTGCAGTGGTTTTTACTGTCATGTTGGTAAATTGGTTTTAGAATACTAATAAAATCAATTAGTTATAATAAATAAATAAACCCCAGGACCCATAGTTTATCCTCCATGAAACACCATCTTCCAAAAAAATTAATGACAGTTGTGACCATCATCATCTTACCATCATTTTATGGTCATTTAAAAATCAACACACTTTGGTCTCTGGTTCTCTTTGACATCTATTTGAGCTTCGAGAGACAGGACTCGGTGGTTGAAATATGAGTTTGAGACTTGTTTGCTTTTGCAGAGGAAGATGGCAGCATTTTCAAATGGAACTCTCTTCTTTAGTCATCATCTTTGTAGGTAGTATAATAGTTTTGTCTCATTTTTATCAAATAGAAGCTACCAAAGGTACCTCTGAAAAGTCTTCAGTAATTATCCTGCATCATAACACGCAGTCTGTATCCCTTTCTGAACATATTTTAAGAATCTAACTGCTAGCCTCTTGTATAGACTTAATAACTTCTTCACAAAAAAGTTCCATTATGTTATCACTACCATTTAAAAGATTATTTTAAATCATGTTACAAGAAAGTATTCCAAGAAATAGACCTAGCCTTTATACTTTAACAATAGCTATATTATTCTCATTTGTAGGATGTAGGCTTTGCAGATTATAATATGTGCCTTTCGCTTTTTAATCATCACAGATTTGCAAACTTCGTCACCTTTTATGGCCTTAGTCTCCACATCCAGCATCTGGGAAATGACGTTTTCCTGCTGCAGACTCTCTTTGGTGTAGTCATCCTCCTGGCCAATTGTGTTGCACCTTGGGCACTGAAGCACATGAACCGTCGAGTAAGCCAGATGTTTCTCCTGTCGCTACTGTCAGTCTGCACCCTGGCCATCATCTTTGTGCCACAAGGTGAGAAAAGATCACAGGTGGAGGAAAGAAAATGCCTTTTCCTCTTTTCTCAGGGATGGTACTAATCATACCTATCTGAAGCTAGAAGGAAAGGGAGAATCAGGTTCTCAGGATTCCCTGACACCAATCTGGAAATTTAAGACAGATTCTGCCACAAGTTGCTGGAAAACAAGTCAAAGATGAGTAAAGCTTGGCTTTAAGATATGACTGTCTTCATCATATTCAAGAAATACTAAGACACTGAAGCCATTTATTTTTGATAGTTTCTCTACAACAGTAATCAATTACTCACTCTTTGGCAAATCAAAATTTTAATGAGTGTTGAGGTGCTAAGCCTTGTCATTGTTTCTCAACGTAAGAACACAATACTGCTACGTCCTGTGTCTGGGCTGTTTCTTACTACTACAGCTGCAGTGACAAAGTATTCCCTAATTCCCATGTATCTACTTGTGTGCCTTGTATTAGGTCACTATAACTGCAATTCTGGTATAGGGGAGTCGTCTTGACTTAAAGGTAACAAAAGAAATTTTGTTCATCTTTATATAAAGAACTATACAGTAGAAATGAGGAAATTGTCAGTTAACAGCCTCTTGTAGATGCTATTTTAAGAAATTAAATGTGGGACCGGGCACGGTGGCTCATGCTTGTAATCCCAGCACTTTGGAAGGCCAAGGCAGGCGGATCACCTGAGGTCAGGAGTTCTAGACCAGCCTGACCAACATGGAGAAACCCTGTCTCTACTAAAAATACAAAATTAGCTGGGTGTGGTGGTGCATGCCTATCATCCCAGCTACTTGGGAGGCTGAGGTAGGAGAATCGCTTGAACCCATGGGGCAGAGGTTGCAGAGAGCCAAGATAGTACCATTGCACTTCATCCTGGACAATAAGAGTGAAACTCTGTCTAACAAAAAGAAAGAAAGAAATTACATGATCATATGTGATAAATAAGAGAACCCAGGTGGCCACCAGTCTTCACTTAACTCTTAGTTTAGTAATATATTTAACAGGATCCCAGATTGGTGTGCTTCGCTCTTCCTCCTGAATGTCAGCAATAATACAAGTGTGCCACAAAGCAACAGAACCCACTCCAATGTCATGAGGCTGTTGGAGGATTTTTTTTTTAATTGGATTGAAACAAGCTCTGAAACTTCCCTCCCGTGCTTTCCAAAGTATGACTTTTTTCCTCTACTCAAAGTCTTTATTCCTAATCCTTCAAATGTTAATTCTCTCTAGCTTCTCCTCTAATGTAAAACTCCTGTTCTTTTCAGAAAACAAAACACTATGTGTTCTCACTCATAATTGGGTGATGAACAATGAGAATACACATGGAGAGAAGTATCACATACCTGGGCCTGTTGCGGGGTGAGGGGGTAGGGGAGGGAGAGCGGGGGGTGAGAGGGTAGGAGAGGGATAACATTAGGAGAAATACCTAATGTAGATGAAGGGGGGATGGACACAGCAAACCGCCATAGCACTTGTATACCTATGTAACAAACCTGCACATTCTGCACATGTACCTCAGAATTTAAAATATAATTTTTAAAAAAAGAACTTCTGTTCTTTAATCACTCTCTTCTGCAACCCTAGCCCCATGTCAATGCTGTGTATGTACCTAGGTTTTAAAGGCCAGGAGAGCCGGCGCGGTGGCTCACGCCTGTAATCCCAGCACTATGGGAGGCCGAGGCGGGTGGATCACGAGGTCAAGAGATCGAGACCATCCTGGTCAACATGGTGAAACCCCGTCTCTACTAAAAATACAAAACATTAGCTGGTCATGGTGGCGCATGCCTGTAATCCCAGCTACTCAGGAGGCTGAGGCAGGAGAATTGCTTGAACCCGGGAGGCGGAGGTTGCAGTGAGCCTAGATCGTGCCATTGCACTCCAGCCCGGGTAACAAGAGCGAAACTCCGTCTCAAAATAAATAAATAAATAAATAAATGCCAGGAGAACATAGATGAGTCTTACATTCCCAAATATTGCACACATGACAGTCCTATGTTCTACCAGGTAGGAAGAGGAGTCCCTGAAGAAACATTCAGCTCAACTTACACGCCCCTCTCTTGCTATGGCATATCTCTGATATATAGTGAGAAGTAAAGTAATAACTCAGATCCTTTTTATTCACTACTTAAGCCACAAGGTGAAGATAAATCACATTTCTCAGCTATTAGCCGCCGCACATTCTTTGCCTCTATGCAGTTTCCCTACAGTACATTTCACCCTTGCAAACACCTCCAATACAGTCCTATTCACTTCGACTTTGGGGGATGCTGATTCCTCCAGCTCAGATTTCCTGAGCCCTTGCGTTCTTCCTTTCTCCAGAAATGCAGACGTTGCGTGAGGTTTTGGCAACTCTGGGTTTAGGAGCTTCTTCTCTTGCCAGTACCGTTGCTTATACCCATGGAAATGAAGTAATTCCCACAATAATCAGGTACAAAGCCTTATGTATGCCCTGTCAGGTTCAAAATGGACCTTTCTCAGATAATTGACACTTTTTGTGGGAAGAAATCTAAGACCGGTTAATTAAGAAAATTAATTGTGACAGTCATAAAAACAAATAATTATAGACCAGCTTTATCTCAAGCTGACTTTTTGCCACTGTGTTAAGTCCTTTAATGTATTATAGTGTACCACATAACCTCCTGAGCCACCTTACAGGTTGGTGTTAAGGAGAACAGTATTTTCTAAATGATGAAAATGTGTCTAATGCACTTGTGAACTGAAAAACTAATTGCTAGCAAGTAAAAGTGAAAATTTCACACAGGAGTATTTCATCACCTCTGTGTGTCTAAATGATCCCCTATAATCAGAGCAAAACGATAAATCACAAATTACCTGTGTGGATTTCTAACAGATATTGTTGTATTGCTGTTTCCATTCAAAGGGCAAGAGTGATGGCAATCAATGCAAACTTTGCTAATATTGCAGGAGCCTTGGCTCCCCTCGCGATGATCCTAAGTGTATATTCTCCACCCTTGCCCTGGATCATCTATGGAGTCTTCCCCTTCATCTCTGGCTTTCTTGTCCTCCTCCTTCCTGAAACCAGGAACAAGCCTCTGATTGACACCATCCAGGATGTGAAAAATAGGTGAGTAAATAGCCCAGCTGCCCCTTAGAGGATCTGTGTCTATATAAGTCTGTGCTGAGGAAGGCAAAACACCATTTAGGGCCACTGTCCTCCCAAAAGGCTTAGATATGGAATGTTCCCATGCAGTCAGTGCCTTAAGTCTAGGTACAGCCTCATGTCTTCCCATAGTGACCTCAGACATCCCCCGAGGCTCTCCAGATCACAGACCAGCTCTGTCCAGCTTGTCTAGGAGGCTTCGAAGTAAAGAAGCCCAAATTAGGTTCCTTTTCCCTCCCTGCCCCAGTGTGATACGCACACTCCTGAAGGTATTTTACAAATATGCAGAGATTCAAACACCAGATTTTCATCCCTTGGAACCCTCAGGCTAGTGGATACCTGTGAGCTGAGATTGCCAGTGCTTACAGGCATGACTACTAGACCACTGGAGAATTTGTGGGAGACTCTGTAATGCTGGGGTATCCAATCTTTTGGCTTCCCTGGGCTACAGTGGAATCAGGAGAATTGTCTTGGGCCACACATAAAATACACTAACACTAATGATAGCTGATGAGCTAAAAAAAAAAAAATTACAAAAAAAATCTTACAATGTTTTAAGAAAGCTTACAAATTTGTGTTGGGCCACATTCAAAGCCATCCTGGGCCACATGCAACCTGTGGGCCATGGGCTGGACAAGCTTGCACCAAGGCATCCAAGGATGACAAGTAGAAGCTATCCAAGCTGCCTTCCCAGATCCTAGCTTGGGAGCTTCATCTTTTACTTCACAAAGTTTACTTAATCCCTTGGGGGCAGAGACGTGACTTTTACCAAAGCTAATGGCCAAAGAATCAGCATGCCCTAAAGAATGCAGGACTTATGCATTTAGTCCATATCTTTTCATTTTTGTGATTTTTGTCGGTTTCATTGTGTTTGTTCCAGGAAAAAAGACTTCAGAGAACCAAAGCAGGAGGATCCCAGCATGGAAGTGATACAGTTTCAAGGAATTCTAGGAGCTGACTGCTGATCAATGAGCCAGATGAACGGAATAGTCAAGACTATTCCTAGTCACTAGCAAAATCTAGAAAATAAATAACAAGATATAATGGATAAGTAGATTCACTTCACAATTGTGTTACTAAATAACTCAGTATAAGCTACCTACAAATAACCATAAGAAAAAAATTAAAGAAAATCATAGCACCTTAAAATAAATCATAATAGAATATTTATATAGTTATAGGTCCCTAGCATGTTTCTGGATAGGAATATTAAACAATATAAAATGCAATGATTATTCCTCAATTATTTGGTAGAGTAATGGTGGGAATAATTCCAGTGAAAAATCTGATACTTTTACAAAAACTTGAAAAATAAGTTTAAATTTATCTAGGAATTAATAGTAGACAAGATGGTTCAGAAAAAGGAAGACCAGGGAGTGAAAATGTGGCTGTCAGGTAAATGGGATAGCACATACAGAACTTCACCATAAGTTGTAATATTTATAACAGTGTTAGCAGATGCATTTACAAAACAAATTCAAAAGCAGATTTTAGTATGTGTAACATTTAATGTGTAATAAGTATTGTAAATTCTTAGAGGAAACAATAAATTATGGAATAAATAGCATTAACCAACTAATTGGAAATAAATGACTAACAATTCAACTTTATATCCTGTATTAGAGTTCTCTAAAGGAACAGAAATAATAGGATATATGTGTATATGAAGGTGAGTTTATTAAGAGAATTGACTCACACAATCATAAGGTGAAGTCCCACACTAACCCATCTGCAAGCTGAGGAGCCAGGAAGCTAGTCTGAGTCCCAAAACCCTAAAAGCAGGGAAGCCAAAAGTGCAGACTTCAGTCTGTGGCCAAAAGCCAGAGAGCCCCTGACAAATGACTGGTGCAAGTCCAAGAATCCGAAAGCTGAAGAACTTGAAGTCAGATGTTTGAGGGCAGGAAGCATCCAACATGGGAGAAAGATGAAGTCTGGAAGACTCAGCAAGTCTGCTCTATCCATCTTCTTCTGCCTGCTTTATTCTAGCTGCACTGGCAGCTGATTAGATGGTGCCCACCCAGATTGAGGGTGGGTCTGCCTCTCCTATTCCACTGACTCAAATGTTACTGTCCTTTGGCAACACCCTCACCGACACACCCAGGAAAAATACTTTGCATCCTTCAATCCAATCAAGTTGACACTCAGTATTAATCATCACATATCCTAAACTAATATGCCAATCATTGATTATAATTATGACAGTCATTTCACACTGTATACATACATGTGTCATTACATCGTACATCTCAAATATTTACAAGTTTTATTTGTCAATCATACCTCAATATAGCTGAAAATAAGTTAAATGAAACAAATAAACCATGCTTTCAAAGGAGCCTTGGCTGCCAAAATTCGGATAAGAAAAAAAATCTTCTGAATAGTAAAGTAAATTCCAAATCAATGTATGTATACTTGACTAACTACTCATTTAAACCTTCTGTGAAGAAAACCCAAAACTTAAGGGGAAAATCTAGAAAAATATACAACAAAATGATTTAAAGCATTAAATTTTCACGGTAGACTGCAAAGTTACTCTTTCTTCTTTGTAAGTGTATTCTAAGTTGAAACAAGTACTATGCAACAGCTTAAAATTTTATAAATTATATCATTCATTCACAGAATTAGGACAAACAATTCTAAAAGTCACATGGAACAACAAAAACAACAAAAAACAGTCTGCGTAGCCAAAGCAATACTAAGCAAAAGGAATAAATTTGAGGCATCACATTATCCAACTTCAAATTATACTACAAGGCTATAGTAACCAAAACAGCATGGTACTGGTACAAAAGTAGGTGTATAGACCAAGGGAACAGAATAGAGAACACAGAAATAGAGCCAAATACTTACAATCAACCTATCTTGAACAAAACATACAAAAACATAAATTGGGGAAAGAAATTCAATAAATGATGCAGGAAGAACTTGATAGCCACATGTAGAAGAATAAAACTGAATCCCTATATCTCGCCATCTACAGAAATCAACTCAGATGGATCAAAGACTTAAATTTAAGACCTAAAAATTCTAGAAGAAAATCTAGCTAAAACATTTCTGGACATTGGCCTAGGCAAAGAATTTATGTCTAAGACCCCAAAAGCAAGCAACAAGCACGGGGAGAAATGACAGATGTAGGTGAGGGGAAGGAAGGCAGCAAATCACACTGCCATGTGTGTACCTATGCAACAATCTTGCATGTTCTTCACATGTACCCCCAAACCTAATATGCAATAAAAAAGAAAGAAAATAAATAAGTAAATAAATAAATAGGACTTAATTTTTTTTTTAAAAAAAAGGTTCTTCACAGCAAAAGAAATAATCAGAAGAGTAAACAGATAACCCACAGTGTAGGATAATATATTCACAAACCATGCATCTTACAAAGGACAAATATCTAGAATCTGCAAGGAGCTCAAATCAGCAAGAAAAAAAATCTCATCAAAAAGTGGGCAAAAGACATGAATAGACAGTTCTCAAAAGAAGATATACAAACAGCCAAAAAACATATGAAAAAAAAATGCTTAAGTGCAAGAAGGAGCCATGATTAAAATGTCAGAGCAACGATAGATGTTGGCATGGATGTGGTGAAAAGGGAATGTTTATACACTGCTGTGGGAATGCAAATTAGTACAACCTCTATGGAAAACAGTATGGAGATTTTTCAAAGAATTAAGAGTAGTAGAGAAAATAGTAGATGTACCATTCAATCCAGCAATCCCATGGCTAGGTATCTACCTGTATTAGCCTGTTCTCACACTGCTATAAAGAACTGCCTGAGACTGAGTAATTTATAAAGGAAAGAAGTTTAATTGACTCACAGTTTTGCATGGCTGGGGAGACCTCAGGAAAATTATAATCATGGCAGAAGGGGAACCAAACACTTCCTTCTTCACATGATGGCAAGAAGAAGAATCAGTGCTGAGCAAAGGATGATGCCCCTTATGAAACCATCAGATCTCATGAGAACTTACTCACTATCACAAGAACCACAGCATGGGAATAACCACCCCCATGATTCACTTACCTCCCACCAGGTCCCTCTCATGACACGTGGAGATTATGAGAATTACAATGCAAGATGAAATTTGGGTGGGGACACAGCCAAACCACATCATTACCCAAAGGAAAAGAAGTCATTATATCAAAAAGACAACTGCATGCATGTTTATGGCAGCACAATTCAAAATTGCAAAAATATGGAACCAACCATATATTAGAAAATCAACCAACTTGATTTTCTAATCTTTGTGCATATTATTCTCCTAGATTAACCTAAAGGAGAAGAGGACTGTCAGTGGCAATTAACTTCTTTGTAGAGGGCATAATTTTCTATGGTGCCCAGCCACCAATCAGTGGATAAATAAAATGTGGTACATGTGCATCATGAACTACTACTCAGCCATAAATAGGAACAAAATAATGTCTTTTGCAGCAACTTAGATGGACTGGAGGCCATTATCCTAAGTGAAGCAACTCAGGAATGGAAAACCAAACTTGTAAGTGGGAGCTAAGCTACGGGTATGCAAAAGCATACGAAGTGGTATCATGGACATTAGATACTCAGAAGGGGAGGGGGAATAATGTTGCGGGCGAAAAAAACCTACATGTTAGGTACAAAGTACACTACTTAGGTGATGGATGCGCTAAAATCTCCAACTTCACCAGTATACGATTCATCCATATAAACAAAAACCACTTGTACCCCAAAAGCTATTGAAATAAAAAATATACATATATTTAAAATTCAGATAACATCCACTCAAGAAAAAAATTGTAAGTTTTTGTTATATTTTAAATTATAAAATATAAGATAAACAAATTTAAGAATGCCTACACACTTAGATTTCTTATAAATGTCTATAAAAAATACACAATTCAATATACTATTGGGGAACACCAAGAACATATAATTTTTAAAGGACAAAAGTCACATGACTAAAAATTTACGAAAAAGTGTACAAACCTATTGGAAATAGAGAGAACAGCATAAAAAGTCCATAAATAAATCCAAGCATGTATGGCCTACTAATTTTGGACAGGGACAACAAAAAGACACAATGAAAAAGGGTTCCCTCCTCAATAAATGGACTAGAAAAAAACTGTATTTCCACATATAAAGGAATAAAACCGAATCCTTCTCTTACACCATACACAAAAATCAACTTAAAATGGATTAAAGACCTAAATGTAAGACCATAAACCTCTTGGAATAAAACATAAGAGAAAGAGAAGAGAATATAACTCCTTGCCATTGGCCTTGGCAGCAATTCCTTGGATAGTACACTAAATGGTCATGCTACAAAAGCAAATATAAATAGATGGGACAACATTAAGCGAAAATGTTTCTGCACAGCAAAGGAAACAAATGTTTCTGCACCGTAAAGGAAAAAAAAAATGAAAAGGCAACCCATGGATGGGAAAGAAATATTTGCAAACTATATATATGATAAAAGGTTAATATTCTAATTTTATGTAAAAAGCCATACAACTCAATAGTAAGAAAACATATAACTCAATAATAAATGGACAAAATGCCCAAATGGATATTTCTCTAAAGATGACATAAAAATGGCCAACAGGTATGGGACAAGGTGCTCACCATTACTAATCGTGAGGACAGAATAATGCAAATCAAAACTACTATGAAATATTACTTTATATTCCTTAAAGTGGATATTATTTAAAAGATGAGTTAACCTGTGTTGTCAAGAGTGTGTACTCATGCACTGTTGGTAGAATATAAATTGGTGCAGCCATCAGGAAAAACACTATAAAGGTACCATGTAACAAATCTTCAGAGGGATCCCCCAAACTTAAAAGTTAAAAAAAAAAAGTTTCCACCCCAAAATTAAAGATAAAACTACTATTACCATATGATCCAGCAATCCCGCTTCTGGGTATATAGCCGAATGAAATGAAACTACCACCTTGTAAAAATATTTGCACTCCCATGTTCATTGAAGCATTATGCACAATTGCCAAGATGCAAAAACAGTCTGGGTGTCCATCAACAGAACAATGAAAAAGGAACCTCTAATGTATACACACATACACACACACACAGAGTAATATAATTCAGCCTTTAAAAAGGAGATACTCAGTTGTACCCTAAATCTCAACATCACACAATATATCCAGGTAACAAATCTGCACGTGTGCCCCCTAAATCTAAAATAAAAGTTGAAATTATAAAAAACAGAAAAATAAAAATAAAAGGAGATCATGCCATTTGCCACTACATGGATGTACCTGGAAAACATTAGGCTAAATAAAATAAGCCAGACACAAGAAGAAAAACATTGCATGACCTCACTTGTATGTGGGCAAAAGGGTCAAATACATAGAGGCAGAGAATAAAACAGCAGTTGCCAGGGACAACGTGCGAAGGAGAAAATGGGGAGATGTAAGTCAACGTGTACAAAGTATAAGATATGTGGGATAAACAAGGCTGAAGATCTAATGTACAACATGAAGACTATAGTTGCTAACAGTGCATAGAATTCAGAATTTTTGCTAAATGACTAGAATATAGATGTTCTTGCCACAGAGTGAAAAATAAGTAGCTATATGAGGTGACACATATGTTAATTTGTTTCACCATGATAATCAT